ATATATATATATATTATATATATATATATTATATATATATATATATTATATATATATATATTATATATATATATATATATTATATATATATATATATTATATATATATATATTATATATATATATATTATATATATATATATATTATATATATATATATAATATATATATATATAATATATATATATATATATAATATATATATATATAATATATATATATATAATATATATATATATATTATATATATATATATTATATATATATATATTATATATATATATATAATATATATATATATATTATATATATATATATAATATATATATATATAATATATATATATATAATATATATATATATATATATTATATATATATATATATTATATATATATATATTATATATATATATATTATATATATATATATATTATATATATATATATTATATATATATATATTATATATATATATATATTATATATATATATATATTATATATATATATATTATATATATATATATTATATATATATATATTATATATATATATATATTATATATATATATATTATATATATATATATATATTATATATATATATATATAATATATATATATATAATATATATATATATATTATATATATATATATTATATATATATATATTATATATATATATATAATATATATATATATATTATATATATATATATTATATATATATATATATTATATATATATATATTATATATATATATATAATATATATATATATATAATATATATATATATAATATATATATATATAATATATATATATATATATATATATAATATATATATATATATAATATATATATATATATATATAATATATATATATATATTATATATATATATATAATATATATATATATATAGCACAACTTGTATTCAGAAAGAGAGCAATATCTTAGGGTTTTAATGGCTCTCTCTCAGTCATGGAGTGAGACGGACACTGGAAAACATCCCATCGTAATTACCCTCGATGTCGATGGGGCTTTTAATCTTCTCTCCAAACTGACCTCTTTAGGCATTTCAGGTGACCTGCATATGCTGCTGCAAGACTATCTCCATAACAGAACCTTCTATTGTTGTGAAAGGTCATCAGTCAAGACCATTCCCCATGCATACATTAGTAGTCTTCTAAAAGGATCTGTATTAGGACCCATTCTCTGTAATGTGTACATCAACAATCTCCCACAGCTCATTCCTTAACTCATGGTTTCACTGATGGCTGTACTCTCAATTATCTAGAAAATAGAAGGAAATGAAGTGGTTATAGCCCGAGTGAACTTTGTACTTGAACTGAGTAAATCACGTGGAAAACAAAGGCAGCCACATTTACAACAGAAAAAATCGACCAAGTGGTCACCTTACGTTCTATATGCTTTCTATGATAGTAAAATCATCTGGTAATTCTTTAGAAACATAGCCCTCACCTTGGTATGCACAGCATGGAGCAGAAACTCAGGAGTACCAGGTGGACTCAGACTATGAGTGTGCTTGTATTTTCCTTTGTTTATGACATTAGCATTCTTGTTTGCACATTATTTCTTATACTATTGACTGCAACTTTTTGTCCTCTACTAGAATATCGTCTTCAATTTGCTCTAACTTTGTGCGACCATACTGTAAAGATTAACCAATCATCTTTAACAGTGTATTACATATGACCAACCGCATCTCTAGCTTAATAGAATAATTTAACCATTGCCTCAAGTTCAATACACATCTAAGTGAAACTGCAGAGTGACTGGTAAGAATAACCAAACACTTTGATTCTATCCCTGCCTGGAATATGCATGTCTTGGATGCCATACTTGGACCTGCTGGGTGAAGTTCAATGTAGAGCTTGCCATCTAATTGCCAGCATTCATCAGGTCTTGCAACCTGCATCCCAGACAACAAGCAACATTGGAGAAAAATGTGGAAGGACTCAGGCAATGCACAAGATGTAAGTGCAACAAGTTCATCATCTAATGGGACTAAGAGTCATCTCCAGTGAAGAGGCACTGGACTACCCATGATCCAACACCAGCAGATTTTTCTCTCCAGAACTGCAAAATTGTTATACCTTTATTGAAGACACACACTAGGTGAAACTGAAGACCCATCACTAGCCATTTCAGCACAACTTTGATCTTAACTAGTGACTTGATATGCAGTACTTTTCATGATATTTCTGAACTTATTTAACTTGTAGATGGGTAACCATGCCAAGTTATCCTTAGCTTTGTATTTCAAAGAACCCATATTTATATTTATAAATATAGATATTAAAAAAACGAGAAGACCCAGACAGACAGAGCAAGGAGTGAGACAGAAGAGAGAGGACAGACCAATAGAGAAGAGAGAAAAAAAAAGTATAAGAACATCAAAACCCATCTACCTCCAGCTTGGCAAGTCATGCCATTTTTCCCAATTACCATTATAATGGGTCATATGTGCTGATCATCTTTGCTGCTCCATTGTCTTCACAATTTAATGAATATACAACAATGAGGAAGAAATAAAATGTCTTTGGAGTGTATGTGCTCTGCTGATATTTTCTTTTTGCATTGTTTATTAGAAAATTCATGTTCTTTTAAGGTAGAACAAGAAAGGTTAAAAAACAAACACGAGTTGAAGTTTAACGTTCATTCATAAAAAATATGGAAGAGAAAAAACTAAAAACAAATTAAAAAACACATCACATCCATTCACATTTAACAAACATTAACATGAGTACACAGTTACTCAATTTTAACAGTCTTCTTAATCTTATTTTCTACCCTTCAATCCATTTAGATTCAATTGCTTTTCTGAAAGAAAGGAGTATTTATATTAACAACCAATATTCCTCAAATGGAGGTTAAAATCTCTCAATATCAGGCATCATAATATTCATCTTTTAATACAAAAGCTTGGTGAGTTATCTCAAAGAATTGCCAACACAGTCCTCACCTGTTCCTTTCCTGGGTTACGTTCCCAGTTGTAGCCATATTTGCCGAAGAGTACAGTGATACCCGCACCGTTCATCTTCAGATCTTCGGACTCTCTGAAAACAGTCTCCGCATCCTCTTTGGTTGAGAAGGCCAGGTTGACAAAGCTGTAATCAAGTAGTTTGTCAGTATATCAGTCATGTAGAGAATGAACAAGATTTATGATATCATTTACATGCCTCTCCATTTCTGAATAGTATGTATCTATCTGTTATTGCAGGAGTATGCCATAATAGACATGTAGTGACTTGTGATTTAATGACCATCAGAAATGGAGAGTAACCAAGATAAGGACGGTCAGGAAGAGCTTATACATTCCAAATTCAATGGAAAATCAGTTATATTTATAAATTACTAGACTGACACATTAGTTATATATGAATTCCCTAGTTAAAAAATGGTAATAAATAAATAAATAAATTTTTAAAAACTAAATAAAAACATCTGAACTTTTAATCTATTATTTTCAAAAATCATTACCTACAAACAATTATTATTTGCCTGTCAACTGTCAGATCCTTTCAGAGGCAGAACACACTCTGAAAAGCATAAACACTTACCGTTTGCCTGTATCATAGTGCATGGCCGTCGCAGTTGGGAACGTTTTCTGCAATTCCTCCTCTGTAGTCCCCTCTGGTAAATGTTCAACAAACAACCTGCAGCAAAGATTTTTTTAATGCATTATCTAACAAAAATAAGGTAAGTATTATTTAATTTGTGCTTTAACCACCTCCAACACAGTACACTAAAATAAGAGGGATACAACTTACGTGTACGGATTTACAGTTGCAATGATTTCGCGCTGGTCCCACGGCCTTGCAATTTGCACGTCTGGATTTTTCTGTAGTTGAGTCAACTTCTTCTCGGCTTCTGCTTTTGATTTATAAATCACGAAGCACATTTTTCCGCTACAAGTCAGAAGAATCCAATTAACATAAATAAACTGCATACTTTCTATACCCAATAAAAATATTTACACTTGGGGGAAAAAAACATTTATGAACAAGAAACAGGAACTTACAACTTAACCCCATAGGAGACTGCATCCTTAAAAATATCTGGCCTTGTCTTGAAGTACTCTGCCTTGAATTTCTTCATTCTGACAATGAGAGTCCGCTCGCAGATGCTGGTCTTGCGCTTGGCATAGATGCCCAACAACTCCCCTGCAAGCTCCAACTGCGGAAAGGAAGAGATGAGAAACTGGCCTGTAATGCCACAATGGCAGAGCAAGGAAGTAAGGGAGCAAGGGAGAGGACAGGAGGAAGGAAGGAGACAGCAGTGATAGAGCACGTGGAGATGGTGACAGGGAGGGAGAGGCAATCTTTAAAGAAAAAGGTATGTTCAAGCAATGTAATATTTAAACTATAACTCATTTTATACTCTCGATTCAGGTCTGTCAAGTTTTTAAAATTTATTCATTTTCATTTTTTTTTACACACTCAAAAGACAAGAATCTACAAACCTTTTCATCTGGTACGTTAGGGTTTGTCTTCTTCTTCTTCTTGGGAGATTCGTTTTCCTTGGCCTCTGTGTCTTCTGCCTTCTCTGACCTCTTCCTCTTCCTCTTCCTCTTGGCCTTTTCACCTCCTTCTGCCTTCTCTTTGGTGTCCTCTGCCTCCTCCTTCTCTTTAGCTTCCTCCACTTCCACCTTTTCTTTGGCGTCCTCCACCTCCATCTCCTCCTTGGGTTCCTGGGCTTCCACCTTCTTGGGTCCCTTCTTACCCCTCTTCCTGGGTTTCTTTTTGGGCGCGGGAGTTTCCACGGCTTTGGTTTCCTCTACTTTGGTTTCCACGACTTCGGTTTCCTCCACCACCACTTTCTTGGCCTTCTTGGCTTTCTTGCCAGCCTTTTTGGGGGTTTCAACCTTCTTGACTGGAGGGGCGGCCTTTGTTTCTTTTACTTTCGAAGGCATGGTGGTGTGTGTTTATTTATTTTTCTATCTGTAACTGGAAAGTGAAGGAAAATATGATTTATACAAGGTTTTATTTGCTACTAGTTTCCCCCTCAACTCCTAATTGTTTGTCTATCACAGAAGAACGAGTGGCTGATTATGGAGTCATTAAAACTATAGGACCAAAATAGTAAATGACAGGGAGAAAAGGTGATCAATCTTTAGCAAGTCCATATTGTAAAGATTAACCAAAAGGGTAAAAACAAACAAAAAAGCATATATTCATACATGTACTAGAAAAAAAAAAAAAAGTTCAAGTGACTACATCCCTCTGTAACCAAATCCTTATTACTCCCACCAGACAACCTTGAGGGCACTCCTACAGATCCAAAAACATTGCCATATGAAACAAACTCTTTCCCAACTCAAGGACTCTGCATTCCCATCCAATCTCCCCATTTCCCAAAAAAAAAAAAAAAAGTTCAAGTGACTACATCCCTCTGTAACCAAATCCTTATTACTCCCACCAAACAACCTTGAGGGCACTCCTACGGATCCAAAAACATTGCCATATGAAACAAACTCTTTCCCAACTCAAGGACTCTGCATTCCCATCCAATCTCCCCATTTCCCAAGGGGCATCAGCATACATGCAACTACACTAACTGTCCCAGTGCTCAAGATACTGTCATGTGTCTTTATGTATATTTAGCTATAAATTGACTCCCTTAATTTGTAGTACCATTTTTCAAAAACGATGTTGACTATTTTCTACGACTTATTCTTTTTCTCAACTCATGCAAATGTTACTTTCCTATACTTGTACAAAAATGCTGTTGCAGAGAACTTGGAATTAACTAAATCAGATTTATCATCATGTAACAAAAAAAGGAATTCAATGATCATTTCCTTTCCAAACACAGTAGACAATCTTGATAAACAGGTACTAATAGTAAGGGAGTTAATAAAGTATATTAGGGAAATCATGGAGGTAAAATAGGCTGAAAAAAAAAAATTGCATATAAAAATCCTTAGATTTGGCTAATGAAGCTATACAGGTTTCTGCCATTCCTGAAAGTCTCTAGGCTGACACGCCAAATTTCGATAGAGAAAAAAATACAGGTACCCATCTGGTAAAATCTATGGGCATTCACACCCTCAAATATCCCTGGCCCCTATAGTATTTATAAAATACACCCTAGCCATATATTCTGCAATAGATGGCATTGATAATTACATTATTTTCACAAGAACAAAATACATGAACTACTCAAATAATCACAGGAGTTATACAGTCAAGTCAAGAGTAGTATTTATTCACACAACAACCATTCCACACGGTTTCAAGTCAAAACCAAATAGTTAACCACTAATAACACATCTTTTCTTCATGACACCTTGCTAGGAAAAATCTACAGAAATTTTTAAAAACCCACATTCCCATACTCAAGACAGCCGCAGTGACACACATACATCCCATATAAACAAGTCTTGACCATATATATTCTTTCAATAACTTCAATCAATCACCCTGGTTGGTCATCAAGCAAGTTAATAAATCCATACTACATCCCAAAACATATGGAACACACATGCCGGCGAGTATGCCAAAGGTGCAGACAACGCATATATAATGGGAAATAGCCATCAGAAGTCCTGGGTTTGAGTATTACAAAAAACACTCTATACAAAAAAAAAAAAAAAAAAAAAAAAAAAAAAAAAAAAAAAAAAAAAAAAAAAAAAAAAAAAAAAAAAAAAAAAAGAAGAAGAAGAAAAAGAAAAAGGCTGCTGAAAATTTACTACACCACGGTACACTCCACAACCTGCTTAGCTGTAGGTGGCTTCCACTTGACTACATATATATGGATAGTAACCAGGGCTGCATTGTACCCAGTGGTTACCCTGGGCATAGCTGAATAATGACAACTCACAATGTACTAAAATTTTGTTCTTCTGATTAAACTACGACAATAAGACCATCTTAAGAACCAGGAATTCCCTTCTAGATGCAAATCTAGGAGTATCAGTATTATTCTCACAGCAGTGGTACTTTATAGGCCTACATATAAAAAATGTCTTTTGACAGTATTGACGTTAATAACAGCAATTATAATAACAAATTATTAACAACAGTTAATAATTTCACAATACATTGCTAGTAAGATATAATAAACAACAAGAAACATGCAAGAAATAAATCCCATTTCTCCCATAAGCAATTACTTGACAAGTACAAACAACAAACCGGTTGATACATTAAAAAAAAACTAATTCTATTCCACAAATCACCATACCCATTCACACACACCACCTCACCCGCACGCATACTGTACCCTCACATACCCACCAACCTCCACAATCAAAAGAGTCACAAAAAAAAACAACCCCTCAAAACACACACACCAGCCTAAGACCCAACACCCTAACACCCACCACCCAAACACCCACCACCCAAACAACCAACCACCCAAAAAACAACCCCTCAAAACACACACCACCCAAACACCCAACCACCCAAACACCCAACCACCCAACCACCCAAACAACCAACCACCCAACCACCCAAACACCCAACCACCCAATCACCCAACCACCCAAACACCCAACCACCCAAACACCCAACCACCCAAACACCCAACCACCCAACCACCCAATCACCCAATCACCCAACCTCCCAAGCACCCAAACAACCAACCACCCAAACAACCAACCACCCAAGCACCCAAACAACCAACCACCCAAGCACCCAAACAACCAACCACCCAACCACCCAATCACCCAACCACCCACACACCCAAACAACCAACCACCCAAACACCCAACCACCCAAACACCCAACCACCCAAACACTCAACCACCCAAACACCCAACCACCCAACCACCCAAACACCCAAACAACCAACCACCCAAACACCCAATCACCCAACCACCCAAACACCCAACCACCCAAACACCCAACCACCCAACCACCCAACCACCCAACCACCCAACCACCCAACCACCCAACCACCCAACCACCCAACCACCCAACCACCCAACCACCCAACCACCCAACCACCCAACCACCCAAACACCCAACCACCCAAACACCCAACCACCCAAACACCCAACCACCCAAACACCCAACCACCCAAACACCCAACCACCCAACCACCCAAACACCCAAACACCCAACCACCCAAACACCCAAACACCCAACCACCCAAACACCCAAACACCCAACCACCCAACCACCCAAACAAACACACAACCACCCAACCACCCAAACACCCAAACACCCAACCACCCAAACACCCAAACACCCACACGTCCACTCACCCCGACGGCGTGTAGTCTGCTGCCGGCCGCGTGGGGAACTCGAGGCAGGCTGGGGAATCCGAGGGGCTGTTGGGGGCAGATGGATCGTGCTTTTAGTTTTTTTTTTTTATCTATTATTCTTTTATTTATTGTTATTTGTTATTTATTTATTGTTGTTTCTTTTTATTATGTGTGTGGGGGGAGGGGAGGGTAGCTGGATCGTGAATTTTAGGACTTTTTTTATTAATTGATCTTTTATTTACTATCATTTATTATTTATTCACTCTCTTTTCTATTTATTTCATTTGATTTTATTCTACGTCTCTCTTGCTTAAATAAGTTGGTTGTATTTTAGAACAGTGCGGTAGATTTTTTTTCTTCTTCTATTTCTATTTATTTTTATTTCATTCTCCGTCTCCTGTGTTCAATAGGTGGTTGTCTTTATACATGTTCATTAGGAAGGTCGGGATAAGGAGTAAAATGGATAATAAACATTTATTCAGTGTAAACGTTTCCTAGATAGAGACATGAAATAGCCTGTAGAGATGCTTACTCAACGGAAACCATCAACCGTGGGAAAACGTTTAGTGAAAAGGAAACGTTTATTCAATTGAATATCTTTTCTCAGGTTAAAAGTTTATCAAATTGAACCAGTTCACACGTTATCAATCAAATGTTTATTAGGTAGACACGTGGGATCCTTTATAGGGAAAGCGTTTATATAGTGGAAACGTTAATCTTAGTTTATGCGAGACGTTTACTCGGTGGAAACGTTTAATAATCGAGAAACGTTTATCAGATGAGAAGCATTTATTAGGTAGGAAACATTTTCTCAGTGTAATAATTAATCAAAATAGAATCAATTCACTGAATGAGAAACGTGTAATCAGTGGGAAAGAGAGAGAGAAGAAAAAAAAGAGTGAGAAACAGTTCCTGAGCGAAAGTGATATCATACACGCGCAGATACAATTTAATTCACATGCACAGGTGTTATATATATATATATATATATATATATATATATATATATATATATATATATATATATATATATATATATATATATATGTATATATATATATATATATATATATATATATATATATATATATATATATATATATATATATATATATATATATATATATATATATATATATATATATGCGTGTGCGTGTGCGTGTGCGTGTGCGTGTGCGTGTGCGTGTGCGTGTGCGTGTGTGTGTGTGTGTGTGTGTGTGTGTGTGTGTGTGTGTGTGTATACACACACGTGTATATATACTTCACACACACCCCATGCAATGCGCATTCATCTGTTGTTCACCTGCTCGCACCCAACCAAACGCCTAAAGGAACGGCCTGGCCACCTGAACGACCGCCCATCAGCTGGTCCGAGCACGTGTAGTTGTCAAAGCACGTGTTCCTTCTTATAGGGATTCCCGTATCTTGTCTCTGAGGGAGAATTAGTGGTGGTTTGTTTCATTTTCTGTTGTTGTTGTTTGTATGTTGGTTGTATTGATAAGAAAGGAAGGGAGGTTTTTTGTAATAAAGGAGTGTCTTTGTTTGTTTGTTATCAGGTAAAACGATTGTTGTTGTTGTTGTTTTTATATCATAAGTTTTAAACGTTATAGTGGATATGTCTGTGGTTGTTTGTACAACTAGCCTCCATTTTATTAGAGTGTCAGTCTGTCTGTCAGTCATTTTGTGTAAATGTTTGTCTGTTTGTTTGTCAATATCCACGTGTGTCAGTGTGTTTGTTTGTTTGTTTGTATGGTCAATTCATCGGGTACTTTCTATCAAAATGGAACCTTTTCTTACCCTGTAATTAGATTGGTCTTTGTTAACAGGCCAACAGTTTTAAGTCCAGCTGTTTTATTTCTGAGGAAGATATGATTAAACCCAGTTAAATACATCTTTTGTATTGTGAAGATATTCGTTCTCATTCATACCTTTTCTATAAGTTTAATTCAGTGACTGTGAAACCCAAAGGTGTAGATAAAGAAGTTTGGGTTAAGGGGTTTCTGAATTGGATTATTCCTAATTATTATGCTGATAACCTTCCCCTGTGTATATTCTGGCAAGATTGAGCTTGAAATATGTTTTTTTTTTTTTTATGATGAATCACCAAGGAAGTAAAACGAAATAGCCAGAAATATACAGGATCGAGGTTTTTGGCCTTTGCCTAAATTACAGCGGGAAATAGGGGCAGAGGCCATGGCATTGGGTGCAGAGGCCAGTTTTGCGTAGATAGGTGCACTTTAAGCATCTAGAAAACCAAAAATAAAAAATATGCCACAAAGATAGGGCTGTGCATACTGTTAACAATTTTCACACTATTTTATTTTTCATTATTCAATAATTTGATACATTGGAACACGCAATTACTCATACATGCATATATCATGTGATTATTCTTCACAATAAACTTTAACCTCCCAGCAGTTAATTCAAAATTAGTTACCTGCATAAGATAATCTTTCTGAATACAGAAGCTTTTCTAGAAGGCAATCAGCCAAAAGTAATTTAATATCTTGGAGACCTAACCTTTGGAAATTGTAAATACCATGATTTATTGATGAGAGATTTTTATTCATTTTTCAGAGATAATTGGAGCTAGAGAAACCTCACTAACCAAAGAAGAGAGAAGTCGAGATAGAAGACAGTAACGAGGAAGAAAATACCTGCTGCAGCTCTAGCTAAGGCCACAGGAGTAAACAAAAAAAAACAAAAAAACAGAAGCTGTGGTTTTCTCAGTAATGGAGGCGGGGCAGAGTGAAGGAAAATCAAGATCAGTGGCTTCTAGAATGCAGGAAGGAGTCATGAATGCAAAATGGAAGAAGAAAGGATGAAGAAAATATTAACCCCATTGAAAATGGTAAAAGTTTTTGTATTGATTTCTCATTCTTTCTTGTGTGAGAGTATTTTGGAGAAAAGAGCCCTGTTGATGTATCTTTAATGGTAGTTTTTAGGGAGTGAATAGTATAGACCTGTTGATAGCATCATTTGTCATATGCACTATAATAGATATAGATATTATATCATTCCACAGAAACATGGACTTAAAATTACAGCATTTCATTCCAAATTTCTTTGTTGATTCTCAAAAGATATCAATTTGCCTTTGTCAAACACACTAACATGTCTTCACACATCTGTCCCTAACAGAATTGCACCCTAATAAAATAATAATGTAGATATATACAGCATGATATGCATACTTGATCATTTGAATATATCATGAATGAACTAATTTCAGTAAAAGCTATCCAAGTTTTGCCATTCAAAACTATCAAGGGATGGAAAGTTTCCCAATTAAAAAAAAAAAGAAAGTTTCATGTTCTACATTAAATAACAGTGATTCAGTTTAGTGAGTAGTCCTCAGTTCATGCTGTTTTTCCTCAGATGGCCTAAGAATGGTGAATGGCAGAGCTGAGGTCTAGGAATTAGCAGCAAAATCCCATTCCTTAACTGAAGTAATTCTATAAGAACTACTATCAAGGGAGTGAGTTATCAAGGGGTGTTTTAATCCTGAGTTTATTTTAGTTATCCAATTTCTCTCTCTCTCTCCTCTCTTTCTCTCTAAAGCAGACTTGTCTATCCTTATGTTATTCCATCTATTGTTTTTTGTTGAATATTGGAGTAAATCCTTTGTATGCTTGTGCAATGAAAGAAATTTGCCACTTATTGTTATTGTTTGTTGACTATGTTTAGGAAGTTGCAATATGTAGCATGAAGTGAATATACGCTGTGTTATGAAAAAGTTTTGAGACAGATTCAGTATTGTTAACCATGGTGTTTTTAGTATTGTCATTATTGCTAATATTAGAAAAAAGAGAGAACCTCAGCAGATGTATTTTACTCATAGCATTTTTCTACAACAGCCAAAACTGAATTGAAAGCTGTTTCCAGCGCCAAAGCAGAGAGATTGTGGAGGAAGCCTTCATGTATGCTGATTATGAAATGGATGATTGCCTTAGAATGTAATAGTAGACAGAAGGTAAGACTCTTGTGTTGTATATAATGGCATAACCCCTAGAAGATGGGGCAAATTTAGAACTTTGTTTGCATGCAAGACAGTAAATAGATTTAAAATTTTGTAAGAACAAACTGCAGAAACCATCAGATATAAACAATTTTTGCCAGCTTTTTTCTCTGAATACAAAGGTGTCAGGTAGTATGTGGCAATGAGATGGAAAAGTAAGGGAGAGAAAAATCTGTAATAAATGGAAGGAAAATGATATTGAAATTACTTTCTCCATATGCCTTTTACTATCCTTAAGAGTTGACTTGTTTGATACATTGTAAAATAATGCTGTCTTTTATCTTTAATTTTATGGATAAGTGTCCTTATTCAAATTTTTATCATTACTTTTATGGTTATTTCTTTTCTTCTTCAGGCTGAAATTGCATTACAGAGAGGTGAAGTAAACAAGAATTAAATAGATGTCGGCAGCTCAGACAAAAAAAACATTGTATTGTCTGGAAAATTTGAACTGCTGTGTATATTTTCTTCCCAAAGGAAACTAGGAAACTTCAAAGATGTATTTATCTTTACATTAAATATGCCTATTATGTGTTGAAGTCATCAGATAGGGACATGCATGTGTGTGTTCATCTGACTTTCATTTACAAAATATGATAGTTATAATGATAATAAAATGACAGCAACATGTGTTTTACATTCATGTTTCCTCCTCCACCTCCCAGTATCACATGTAATACTTGTGATGCATAGGTATTGTTAGACAAGAGTTTGTTTGATTTAGAGATTGTTTGATTTAGAGATTGTTTGACAAGAGTTTGTTTGATTTAGAGATTGTTTGAAGTGGTAATTTATTATTGTCATTATTATTTATTGTTATAAGCCCTCTAAACTCTCTCCCATCTCTTAATTTGTCTCTCTGTCTCTCCCTCTCCCTCTCCTCTCCTCTCCTCTCCTCTCCAAGACCAACAATCGAATTGTCTCCATCAAAGAGGAAAATGTATAAAATCTTTCCATCCAAGACATTATAAGTCAAAGTGATATAAACCCAAACAGCTACCACAGATGATGAAAAAATACTAATACAGGTGACAAAACAAGAGTCATGCCAAAGTCTCTGAAACGACCTTGAAATCTTTATCAAATGGAGTTGTACTAGGAATCTGGAAAGTGAACACTAATAAATGATATGTAGTAAGGTAATGATGGTAGAAAAACAACAACCCTGAACTGAGTACACTGAAAAAAGAGAATAACTTATTACTTTTAACAGCACCCTAAAACACCAAATGTTACATGTAAATGAAGATTTGATAAATAAAATCTTAAGGATTATCAAAAAGGTTCCTTTGGAGCATCAATATAATTTTCTTCTAAAGGAAAAGCTTAGATAAACTGTAAAGATTTCAAGGAATGGCCACAAGATCACCGCCACTTTTAAGGGACTTCAATTATGAGGAAAGACAGGAAAAATTTTATTAAAGAAGAAAATTAGTTGACGTAATTATGCTTTGCAATTAAGACACAGGAACAGTGAAGTACTCACGGCTGAAATTGTAATTAGTAAGAAACGAGGAAGAACATGTGTGTGTGTGTGTGTGTGTGTGTGTGTGTGTGTGTGTGTGTGTGTGTGTGTGTGTGTGTGTGTGTGTGTGTGTGTGTGTGTGTGTGTGTGTGTGCGCGCGCGCGCGCACGCGTGTGCGTGTGCGTGTACGTGTGCGTGTGTGTGTAAGAGAGAGAGAGCACATGTATGTATGTATGTATGCATGTACACATGTATATGTGTGTATAGATATGCATTAATCTATAACCATAAGTCCTATCTATGCATACATGCACGCTACATATTTCAACACCCAAACGAACACGGATGTGGAAAAAGGTAATTATTTAAATGTAAAAAAAAGCATGAAAAATAAATACACAAATGCACAAATAAACGCACGTACGCAAATATACAATATATACCCGAATTGCATATTATTCCCAGCCACGACGGTTCTTTAACCTAAAGGAACGACCCGGCTTCCCCTTACGCCGCCGGACTCGAACTCGGGGCCGCGTGAGCCTCCCATTCACAGCCAGACACCCATTCAGAAACACACGACCGGTCACCTGTGAGTCGCGTGTCCCGTGTCCTTCTTCTATTTTGTGCTTGGTTGGTGTTGGGGAGAGTTTTTTTGTTGTATTTTTTTGTGATTCGTGGCTTCGGTTTGATGGTTTGATTGTTTTGATTGTTGTTTGTGAAGGGAATAAAGAGGAAAACTGGGAGGGTTTTTAGGGGTTTTGATGTAGGTTTATTTTAGTGGGCATCTTCTAAGTATCTCGTGTGAGTGCCTCGGTTTATGATATTTTTGTTTATACGTGGTTAGGTAATGTCCGACTTATAAGTGATGAAGATGATTGATATTGATTGTTTCCTGTTATTTTATTTTTATTTATTTTCAACTCGCGACCCTCGTGTCTGCCGTTCTCTATAGGGCAGCAAATTACACCAGACATGTATTCTTCAAAATAGTACTTGGACAGGATCCTAGACATGACATATCAATAGATGATAAGGTGTTCTTGGCCGTAATATAGTTAGAGGAGAGAGGGTAGATTACCTTTGCCAGAGTGCCATCCGCAGAGGCCATGACCCGGCACACTAATGTGTGCTGATTTTGTCAGATTGTGGCCTTGGCGTTTTTTGTCTTTTTTTTATTCTTGCTCATCTCTTTATTTATTCACATATTCATTTATATATTATAGGCATTATTTGGTTTTATCACATTTGGCCGTCTGATTCTATCACATTCACAT